AAAAAATATACTGCGACCTGAACACCAGGTGGCAAGTGGTAGCAAATATAATAAAAAAGCACGTTGGCCAAAAAAAAAGAACTCGGCACGCTGGCGTAACAGGCGGGAGYTGAGGAGATGGTCCGTCAGTCTCAACCGCGGAAAAAAGACAACACCGGGCGGCGACTCTGTCTTAGCTCGCGACGAGTTGTCTACCGATGTAGGAGTGGTAGGGTGCTCGGTGAACATCGACGCCGACGGCTGCACGATAGCACCCGCCGATAATATCGGGGCGACGTGTTGTTGTTCCGATGTTCGAACATCCTCCCCCCGGTGAGCCTTGGCTCACCATCCATAATGAGAACAGGAACTTGCATTCGTGGGCTTTCAAGTAATGCCATCAAAATTGACGTAGAGGTATAGACGTGGAGTGGTAGGCGTGGTATACAATAAATGCAATAAACATAATAAATACAATACAAAATAAATAAAATATAAGGTTGACACCCACAATAAATATCAACCTGACATAAACAACAAATATAAATTTGATATTAAATAAAAATTCATTATGGCGTCACCTTAGTCCCGAACACCTATAAAACGTATATGTAGCTCGATGAAAGCCATAAAATAAAAAACAAAGGAGTAGGCCCTAACGGTTTATATGGGTTCAAGTCATAGCGCACAGTGTTCGTTCCGAGGTAACATGGTGCCCCACTGCTCGCGTTGACATAACGTGGTGCTTTATATCTTTTAACGACGGCAAATCCGACACGAATGCGACCCATTCATCGCGAATATCCAGCGGTAGGGGGTCATCCCACGATAGATCTAGTCGCCACGTCCGCTGCATGACGGTTTTTGCCATAAAAATAGTCAGTCCAAAGAAACCTAGCGGATCAAAAATGCGCGCCACGAGTGAGAGGATACCTCGTTTCGTAAATACTGGCGGCTTATCAACATTTAGCGCGCAACAAAAGTAGTCGCCGCCCGGGTGCCACTCCAACCCCAATACTTTTGTTCCATACCCGTCGACGTCTTCGAATGACGTCGGTTTAGTTTAGGGTGACCAGTTTTACAAAAAAAAAAAACGGGACAAACAATTTTTAGTTTAAATACTCTAAAAAAACATACACATTTTTTAAAAATATTTTTTATATTTTATATTAACAATTTACAATTAAAATATTTTTTAACTACCTTGCTTAATATTTTAATAAAAAACTTGTTTACTTTTATTGAGTTGATGTTGATTGCTCATCATGTCCTTTATTATCTATTGTGCTGTTATTGTACTTTTGCGATGAACTGATTGCGTTTAATAGTTTTGGTTGTGTTAGCAAAAAATCATAAAAATCATTACACGAATAATTTTTGAAATGATTTTTCAGAATTATAATTGACTTGATGGTAGGAACGATAAAGCGATTTTTTTCATCTGTCCATAACATATTAGTGATAGAAAATACTCTTTCAATTGCAGCATTTGTTCCAGGCATTGCTAGAGAATATTCTACAATAAACCAAAAATTATTTATCGATATATTTTTACTATTTAAAATTTTATAGATAGCACACCATCTTTCTTCAACACGAACATTGTTATTCTGCCATTCTTCTAAATTTTCATTTATARYATTATTTACATGATTATATTCATCAAAAAGAATATCTTCATCCACATTCCAACCGGTTTGTTTTTTATTATTTTGCAAAATAAATTTTAAACTTTTTTGAATATCATTCCATGTTGGACAATTTATCAGTTGAGTCCAACGAAATATTTTTAGTTCTTCAAATGTATTTCCCCACTTTTCAATGTACATAATAAATGTGTCATAAAACTGGTTAGTTTGCTCTATAAATTGTTTTTTTGTGTATTTATTTTTTGTCTCTAGTTCTAAAAGCATCGAGTTTACACTAGAAGTTAAAAAGTTTTGTGTTTTTCTATTTTTTATTTTTCCACATAGTATTTCTAATTCTTCTGATACTTCACATGCAGATATGTTGTCCCCTTCTATTCTTTTTATAGTGTCACAAACGACTTTTAATTGACTTTGTATAAAATGAAACCATATTATTGCAACGGGGTCA